CAGAATTACTCTTCTATCACAGATTCTGTGACACCAGTAATCAGAGTTGAGAATTATAGACTTCAGCTGCAAAATCACCCTCCACTTTGATTACAGCATTGTTCTTCAAGAAGTTAAGAGTACCAGTGAGCAGAACGTCTCAGCTGTCTTGTCCGTTCTTCAGTGTCGAAATTGACAGCAACAATGCCATAATGTGTCTTGAACCCACCGAATATCTCATACAGATCCATGAATGACCAAACAGAGTATCCCCTCACGTCGACTCCATTCCTAGCATTGACAAATGTCATCAGAGAAATACTGTTATCAGTTGCTGCTGTGTTCAACAACTACACGAAGAAAACTTTGAAACTAACACACGTAAGACAAATGCTTATTGCTTCACAACATGATGGCTTTCAGTGTGCTCGTTATGTATTTTTTTCAAGTAGGCAATCCTCTCCGCATCATCCAGGCTGTCATCAGCTTCTCCATAGCCTGATTTGATGCCATGTCAAATTAGTGCAAAATTTTGCAGCATTTTCTGAACATGAAAATAAAAGAAAGAAGTCTATTTTTTACTATGGAACTATCACCCAAGTTTGATTTTGGCTATCAAATGCCAAAATCGGATATTTTTGGCCATTGGACTATAAGTAAAGCACACTGATGGCCAAATATATCCAGTTTTGGAGTTTGATGGGCTTCCAAAATAAAATTGCGGAGTATCTTAGTGCTCGAGTCACAAGTACTACAGACTGACCATTTTCCTGGATATAAAATGACAAGCTTCCATAGTTTCCACAGATATATTCAAGTATGAGCTCCAGTCCATGAGGATCTACCATTTCCCCTGGAAGAATCTGCTTCAAATAGATAAATCAAAGATACTTGTTTTGATCAGTTTAAACATTTCAGTAGCAAGTTCAGCATCTCACCATTACAGAAGGGGGAGCATCCCTGGTACCTGGAAAAAAAGAAGAGCAACCCATAAAATATTTTGAGGAATATGAACATACAACAAGAAACTTGTACAAACATTAGACCTCTGAAAAGAGCAGCCAAGTCAGCAGTAAAGTCTTGTAGGGGTCCCTCTAATGCATTAGGATGATTGCTCACATATATTGAGGTGTAGTGATTCAGTCCGATGAAGTCGAATGAATTAATAACAAGCTCAGATTCGAAGCTGGTAAAAGATGGAAGACGGGAACCAGCAATCTTCCTCATGGTCTCTGGATAGTCTCCGAACACCAACGGATGCAGGATCCTGGAAATTTGGAAAGTTCTAGTGTCATAATTCACGAATTTGGGTGAACTAACAGTTGAGTTTTCTGCAGGTAGTGCACATACGCTACTATTAAGATTCAATTTCTTTGAAATGACCATATACACTAAAGTTAGACATTAGAAAAAAATTATGCCCCCCCCCCCTCTCCCCCGATCAATAAAAATAGTTACAATATATACTATACTGTAGGGGCCTCGGCCCCTCCAGATTCTTCAAAAAATATCTTTGTACTTTTCTGCAACTTTTTAATATTTAATACATTACTGTAGGGGCCTTGGCCCCTCCAGATTCTTTTAAAAAATATATAGTTACAATATACTTTATTGTTTCTGTAATAGTTACTATATATTAGAGTCAATACAACAGAACATTTTTTTTTTACGTAATGGCTAGAGCTCTGCCTTTCAGTACAACAGAACATACCAGCCAAATAAGAAGGTTTTTACTCTTTCTGTGGCTTCAATATCTTCAGCTGAATCTGTGAATGGATAGAGCCCCATGGTGTACATATTCAGGCCAATAGTGCCCTTCTGTGCAGCCTGAAATCGAGAATAAGGTAACAGACATAATTTCCTCAACTTCATAAATAAAATTCAGAGGAAAAGAATATAAGCAGAGAGCTCACTTGGTAGTTCTGCCTGTAAAGCCTAACAGTTGACGCATGAGCCAGCAGAGAGCTCACTTGGTAGTTCTGCCTGTAAATATGGCTCAGTTGTGGAGTTTCCAACTGTGCAATTGCTCGTGCCAAATGGATATGAGCAGTGGTTTTGGGGGAGATCTCCACTGTCAAAACTACCTTGAGCCATGATGTTTGGCTCGAGCACTGTTGTCCAGTGGGCAACTCTATCGCCAAACTCATGGAAACACACATTGGCATATGCTGTGAAATCATCTCTATATCACATATGGCAAAAAAGGTAAAGGACTCTGGTTATATTCCAATTTCCAAATGGTTCTCATGAAATCAGGATGCCATTAACGTAAGTAACTATACTTACATGATTTTGGGGCTAACCCACCCACTGTACTCATCTTCAAGGATCTGAGGAAGGTCTATATGGTAAAGAACAACATTTATCTGAATACCTGCAGAATAGCATGCACAATGTGGGGTGGGAAAACCAATGAAAAATATTCAAATGGGATAAAATTTAAATAAAAACACACCTGCTTTCATCAGCTCATCAATCAAATTGTTGTAAAACTGCAGCCCTTCTGGATTCACCGCTCCTCTCCCACCTACAATGTCCAAAGTTAAATTCAGAACATCAGGAGAAGTTAACAATGTTCATGAACAGTTCATCATCAACAGACACGGCATGTTAAAGTTCATTTGCCACACCAGGAATAAGCCTTGACCAATAAATAGTGAACCTGTAGGACTCCAGGCCGATGTCACTCATTAGCTTGATATCATCCTACATAGAAACCAGCAAAGAGAAGATGTGAAAAGTGATTGTTCCGCAAGTCCCCAACCATGCAAGGATTGTAGAAAATTAAAACTGGCCTTTGATCCTTTCATCCGTGGGAGAAAATCCGTACCTTATACTTATGGTATCCATCAGAAGCGATGTCACCAGTATCCTTAAACGTATTTCTCTCTGACACATCAGACAATCATACTACATTTGAGTTGAGATAAATGTACAAGTACTAAACACACTACAGTAGTACTGGAAGACAGTCACACGAGTAAACGATCTATCCATGAATGTTGAGATTGGCACAAGAGAAGGCTACGCCATGTTTTTCTCAAGTAACTGTGAACTCAAAACCAACATAGCACCTGATACTTCACTAGCAATAACCGCTCAAGTCTAGCATAACATTCGGCAGAACTTGATGGTCAGAAATTAGGGAGTGCAGAAAGTCAACGGAGAGTTCCTTTCAGGGGGAAAAAAGTCAACGGAGAGAGACGGTGGGAGAGACCTGAATGGGCGTATGTGTCCCAGATGCCAGGGCTCCTTCCATCCTCAGCTGCCGCACCCTCATACTTCAATAAGAATGGTATACGAGCAAAGATTAATTTTAACCAAAGTTCACCTTGAATTGCTCGCATATATCGTATCTGCATGTTAGGAAAGAAAGAAAGGTGATTCGCTGGAAGGAGGAGGTACCTGATAGGCTGAAGTTGCAGCTCCAAATGCAAAGTCATCTGGGAAATCACCCCTTGTGAACTGTAGGGTGCTTGCGCGCGGCAGAGACCACAAAAGCAGCGGCCATGCCGAGAAGAAGAGAAGCTGAATGCATCTCCCCACTGCTGCAGGCCGCCACACCCTTGTGTATACCTGTTATAGCTTATTAATCTATGACAACAGGGATCCAGCAACTCATCGAGGGGACGAGACGACGCACCTTGGCCATCGCAGGTTTGACAGAAGCCAACGGTCCTTCCAAAAGCTGTTCTCTGAACTCCAAGTTGAAGCAAAGATGTGGATTCAGGCTGGCGCCAAATATCTGAAGCCTGCTAGTTGAACACTTTGTATAGGAGAATAATTTGGCCCTGTTCGCTTGAACTTATCAACCGTACCGTTTCAGCGAAATAACAATATTTTTCTCTCACAACAAATCAGCATCAGCATCAGCCGTTTTTCCAGCCAGCCGAACAAGGTCAATCTTTCTTCTTTTAGCCGCAGTGGGTGGCCGTCTGGTTTGGGTTTCTTTTATTCAGTTGTAGTTGGCGCATCTCGTGCCTACAAAACTATTATTATCATTATTAACTAATGCCGGATCTTTCAAATAAATAGCTGTCTGCCCAGCACATGAAGTTTTTTTAGTCAATAAATAGGTATAGTATAAGAGTATGGTCAAACCTTCTTTCCTCTATGTTCTAAATAATAAGATGTTTTATTTTTTCTAGATACGGAGTACATGACTTTTACTATTATACACTCACGTTTAGATACATAATAGAAACAACATATCTAAAAAAAAGTCAAATGTCTTTATATAATTTAAAACAGAGGGAGAAACCATCTTCTTTCTGTGTGTGGAGGTGGAGAGGGGTTTAAGACAGCCCCAGCCATAAGACAAAGCAAAAATATAATGCTAGAGCTTGAACAGAGAGCTCTGGTTAAAAACATTCTTCTTTTGTTTTGTAGGAAATGGAAGCCCAATAGCTAAAAAACGATGGTTTTGGTTTACTAGAACCATCAGTATATTATATTGTTTCAGCTCGGTGGAAACCCAACTCTTTTCCTCAGGATCTCTTGAATGAAATTAGGGAACGAAGTAAGTAGATTAGATAGATATTTAGGAGAATTTCTATCTCCTACTACTAAAAACGATTTCAAACATGCTTGCTGTCAGGTCAATAAAACACGAGTTGGCAAAATATTGGGTCCTCATAGAAAGTATAGTTTCCCGTTGCTGCTACACTTATTAGCAGAGTACATAGCAATAGGCTCACTGTAGATACAAAACTTGGAAAAAAAAAATCCACCACAACTCAATAAGAATGACAAATTTTGGGTTCCACCAGCCACAAAACTCATTTGCTTAAGTAAATTTTGGGTTTTCGTACTCTCTGACTCTTTCGCGTGTCCACAGCTACAAACATATTATTTGTAGTGTTTGGATAGCTCACAACTGGCTCTGTACTTTTCTTCATTGCCCTTTTGATTTGATCCTCTATAGACCAAGAGCTCCCAAATTTCTTATTTGGTTTTGGCCCTCTCTTGTTTACAAGCTTTACATCTTGGGTTGGGGCTTCAGCAACATATTTAATTGGCTCTCAACGTGTTTCATCTATCCTCTTGACCCTCTCAAACTGCCAAACTTCGTCAGTAGCTGCCTTATTATCTATTAGTACATCATCAATACTCTGCAAAGAATACCAAAAGCATCAGGAAATGATCGCAACCTAACAAATACCAAGATGACATAATGAATAGTATTTTGTATATTTTTTCTCAAACACGCAGAAGAGCTACATATCATTGTATTTAGAGAAAACCCATACAAGACACACACATGCACGCACCCACTTAGGACAACTCAATAACAGATACGTATGGAGCAATAGAATAGACCGACCCAACAAAAAATGTAAGCCCCTAAGAGCACAAGGGCGAGAAGATAACAAACACCTCGAGCCCCAGCCAAACTCCAAAATCTCATCTCTTCTAAAGCAAGAGACACTACAGTAGACACGGAGGAAAAATGTCATTGAAGACAACGACTGCGGCGAGAGCCCCCAAGCCTTCAAAATGATGACCGAATTCAAACCTCTCAGGACCTGCCCAACAACTGTGTCATTGATTTGAGGAGCCTATCAGTCATCAAAGGAAGTGGCATCAGGCTAAGGTGGCAAGGCTTGCAGACCAACCCTGTGGAGGAGCAAGAACCAAACTTGTCGAGCAAAGACGCACGAAACTAGCAAATGATACCGAGTTTCATTAGCTTGATCACACAAGGGACACTTCTCGGGATGAGGCAGACTGCGCCGAGCAAGGAGACCGGCAGTACAGCATCTCTTGCGAACAACCAGCCATATAAAAAAACAACACTTTCTATCTTCCCAGTTGCCCAAATTTTCCAAATTCTTTTTCAAGGCCTAAAGACCACAGCCCCACGAAATATTTTGTGCACTTGTATTAAAAAGAAGTTAGATATGGACTACAAATCCAACAAGCTTTAGCATCATTATGGTTACAAGACTACAATGCTTGAGAAACTAAATGATCGGCCTTAAACATCTAACCATCCGTAATAGGGGTGGTTACGAAAGAAATCCCCTTGGCCCCTGCCACTCTCCAACATTTCATCTCCTCCTTGGCCAGCAAAAGAGCATCCTGCAAATTTGGCGACCCTCCATCAAACACACACCTATTCCAGTAACATCCATGCCCCTAGAATGACAATGGAGTTCAGCCCTTTAAACACTTGCCCATCAAACACCAATGTATCTTCAAGTTGAGGAGATAAACTCTGCAGGCCAATGACCAAGAATTGCCTAGCAAAAATGCAGGAAATTAGCAGGTGATTGATTGTTTCAGATTCCTGGCTGCATAGGGGGCAGCGAGCTGATAGATAAGCCTAGTGCTAAAGCACTTGTATCTTACTTTTCCAGCAATTTACTTTCCTGGCTTTCAAGCCTTGTTTTAGGAATATGCTCAGCATCCACTTTAGTGGTTAGAATATGCTGGAGCAGGTAGGAAAGCCCTCTGCCTATAAAAGCAGGGGCAATGCTATTGTAAGGAACAACTCCATTACTTTTCAATTCCAACAAGCAGCCAAGGGCCAAGCTGTCCTCTAATAGTTCCCTAAATCTGAATCTGAGATCTATTTGGGCCAACACGAGCCAGGTGTTCCAAGATCGATGGGCAAGCCGATCTGCAGTCCAGCATCTGTTAGGCACTTATGCACCACCAGCCACATGAAAAACCTACACTTGCTTGGAGACCAGCTTTCCATTACATGTTCCCATGGCCCAAACTATGTTCCCCTCTGAAGAATCCTTCATAAGCTAATTTGGCTGAATAAATACCAGAGGAGGATAGTCACAAAAGTGAGCGTCTTACACTCCAGGTTGCAATGTGGCTTGAGCAATGAGATCTCACAATTCCAAAAATTCGGTAACAGCTCCCACAGTTAGAGCCCCTTGAATATCAGCAAACAAATTATTTGTAGTAAGAGCCGCCTGCACATTACGTTTGTTCACTCTCGCTTGGACACCAAAATGTAGACACGAGGAGCAGGTCCATGATTCATTGCCTATGTCACCATGTCTCTTTTCAGAAAAGGGTGTGTGCACCACATCTCCCACTTCTGAAGTTGGATAGGAAAGGTATCCCAAGGGCGATTAGGCTCTAAGGCCAAGGTCATGTTATGCTATCTCCCAAAGGCATGAATGTAATCTGATACCTTGTGGGCGTGTGAGGTGTGTTTGTATGGGTTCTTGTACCCTTTTTTCTTCTCTAATATAATGATATGCAGCTCTCCTGTATGTTCATGAAAAAAAGGCAACTAAATGATCTTCTAACTATTTCTAAATGACTTTCAAAATGGTCTAACTCACTAGATTGAGCTCAAACGCTTTTACATCTAATAATCTACTTGAAAAAATTGTAAACATACATAAAAGAAACCTAATACAGTAATTGACAAAAGAATATCAATATTATCACTAAGTATTACGTGATCTAATGGAAAAAAATAAAACACTACAAAATATGAACTTACTTCTTTGCATATCCTTTCTATATGAGGATTAATTAGAGGATTATTTACGCCAAATAGCACCTCAGCTGTAATTTCATCTCCATCTTCACCAAATGGTCTACCTACATTCTTCATTTTATGAAAACCATTCAAATCCTTCTTTTTTTGAGACTTTTGAGTATAGTCTGTTTTGTTATAAGCTTCTCTGAGATAACTCTTAAGATTAATGATACGAGACTGGAAACATTCAATTGCCAAAAGAATTTCTCTTAAAGAATGTTGTTCTAAGAGAGTATTATTTCTGTGTGAATCTAGCAATGTATCATTCATGCCAAAACTGCTTTTGGTGTCTTCAGAATCTGCATTAAGAATCAAGGATAGAAGTGATTAGAGACTGATAAGGAATTAATCGACATAAAAACGATAACAATGATATTCAAATTCACCAATGTAATTCTGATAAGAACGATATTTTTGTTGTATGCAAAAGTTACCTAAAAGAAATGCGCAAATAGAATGTGTAAAGAAGAAAAATAGTTACAAAAATGAGTAAGACAAGACATGTACCCAGGTAACGCAGCACCCTCATTTTTACCCAGCCAAGTTTCACAAATATTGTCTGCACTAATTACCAATGTAAATATGTTTGAGAAAATTACCAATATAAATGGCTCAGTTTGAATCACATTTAGCAAGTATTATTCTCCCTATCATAAGTGTTCGAACCAACTCAAATAAAGCCATACACATAGCATCCCATTAATTCTTTTCACTTCTTTTTGTTTACTTATCCCTCAATTGCTGCTGGTTTCCACAATCAGCACAGAGTGAGCAGCACCAGATATGCTGTCTTCAATACTACAGTTCTATTGAGAGTTGAGACCAGCTATCTCAACAATCAAAAGGTCAGAAATATCTGACCTATTCATATAAACAAATGCTCTAACAATACATATTATTAGTATACAAATATTACAATTTTTTTTGAAAACAATATTACAAATTTATGATATTATATAAAATAATACTCTCTACTTCAATACAACCAAGACTAATGGGCATAAGATCATTCCAACATACCCAAGTTATTAAGGTCATCAATAACCAAAAGCTCATTATCAGCTCCACTCATTTCATTTCCTGTTCTACTCTTTCTGTTTTCTGCAAAGAGTGATCATTGGAATACTTAATGCTTTGTTATTATCAAGTACCAACAGTAAACTGGTTCTAAATAGAATAATTCTAGCCCTATAGAATGAAAAGGATAGGATGTAACCATGGCTATAATAAGAAAATATCTGATGCTTCTTGATGTACAATGAGGTGTCCATATAGTCTTCATATCTTTTCCTTCTCCTCCTATTTATAGTATTTCTTTCATTGCCTGAAAGATCTAATTGTGATAGTTCTGATTTGTGGCTATCTGCTTTAATCATCTCCAACTGTAGATACTTTTCATGATTTACTAAAGCAAGTTCCTTGTCATACTTTGCTACTTGTGACAAGAGATCTTTAATACGCAGCTCCAACCAATGACATCGCCACCTTTCTGGGCCAATAAACTTCCTCCAATCAGCTGATACCTTTTCTTTTCTAAAAGATAATTCAGGTTATTTACAAAGTAGTCGTTAAAAGGAAAAGACATAAATATACAAATGTGATTGTCATGAAATAAACAACAGAAGGGTATTTAAATTTAAAATAATAAAATCATTATAAGGTTTTTATCTAATTCCATATAAAAAGAAAAAAAAAGAGGACCAACAATCATACTTTCACATTTGCAGGAGATTATATGGTTTCATGTCTTGAGTTTCGCAATTTTACATCATTAAATGTTGTAAATACAGTGGATATAGAACTTGTGGAAGATAGCATCATGCGTATTACCTAAAGTGAGATAATAAAAAGTTAAGAACTATTTCTCTTATGATGGGATAAAGAGGAAAAAAGGTAGTGATTGTCTATGTCTCCCTTTTCACTCTTATAACACTATGCTAACAGAACAGAGGTAAATAATATAATTTACATTGTATATGCTCACCTGATCATATGTGGCACGGCGGTGGTATCACCGCCATTGATATGTGAAAAAAACGGCGAATCCACTTCAGTGGCGCCTGTGTCTGATTCAGTTTCGTCATCAGATCCAAAGCCAGAATCACCAAACGAGCTCGAGCACTCTGTGCTATCCGCATGCCCATCTTGAGCAGACTGAACATCATCAGCACACTCGTCTCCAAAAGAAACGGATGCCAGACCTGGATCACCACAGGCAGGCACCGCAGGGTGAATCACTCCATCCTCAACATATTCCACATCCACAGGTTCGGATTTAACAACTACATTGTCAGCTTTGTTGTCAGCGTCGTGATCATTGACGCCAGCCACCGGATCCGACGCCATGACAACAGATACAGATGGGAAAGCCCTCGATCCGACTTAGAGCAACCACGCGGCTTATTTTATAAGCCAAGATCACAACACGGCCCTGCCCATTCCATGGCCAGCAGACATTAGTGGCGCGAATTCAAGAACATGCAACAGGTAAGAGAGGAACAAACAAAAACGATGGGCAACAAACAGGGGCAGACCTAGTAAAAGAACTCGGTGTACACGTGTACGCCCGATAATTTTTAGGAGGCATTAAATATATATCCAAACAGCTCGCTAGGATATGGGTGCTCGGTTTCGGATAAGGGATGGGATACCTGGTGGCTCGTCGCCGGCGAAGAGATCGACGGATGCCTCGGCACTGGCGAAGGGCGGTGGCGCCGTGGCGGCGGTAGCGCACCCAGTCCGAGTCTCCGAGAGCGCACGCGATAACCGAATTTTTTTATTTTTAGCCATTTTTTAAAAAAAATCACAAATATGCTCTCATGGAAAGGTTTCAAAATCTGGACCCTTAGCTCGGCGCTATTGTTGGCGCCGAGCTAACACGTATTGGCGCCGGCGTCCCTGGTGCCGAGCTCTTTGGCTCGAATCTAACGTGGCGGTGACATGGCAGGAAGCTCAGCGCCAGTCACCCGGTGCCGAGCTCAGCGCCGTAGATCTTGGCGCCAGGGTGACTGACGCCGAGCCTGCCTTCCGTATGGCCCCCAAACCTTTCTCTCGTCTTCCTCTCTCTCTCGCTTTTCCCTCGCCCGAGCGTCGAGCCGCCGCCGCCGCCCGCGCCCTCTCACGCACCCAGCCGCCGGCGCCCGCGCGCCCTCTCCCTCGCCGCTCCCCGCGCCCGCGCCACGCCGGTCCCCTCGCCGTTCCCCGCGCCCCCGCCGGACAGTCGGACCCTGCGGCCTCGTCGGACCACCGTGCCCTCGCCTCGCCCGACGTGCCGCCCGCGGCCGCCTTGGCCGCGCCCTGCCGCGCCGGTGCCGTGACCGTGACCGGCCCCCCACAGCCGGCCTCGGCCGCGCCCGCCGCGCGCCACCGCCGTCATCAGACGCGCCCCCACCGGCCCCAGTACCTGCAGTGCCCGGCCATGCCACCGCCGGCCCGGCTCGTGGCGGGACCCACGCCCGACATCCGCTGCGACTCCATCGACGTCCGTGACTCCGTCGTCGGATAGGTAAAAATTATGAATTTACAATGTGCGTACTTAGTTAGCTTTGATCGTAGTGTTGTAGTTTTGGTATTTGTTATTTACTTGTTAATGTGATGACTCGGGTAGTTGATTTAGTTAGTGATCTAGTGAGATATATATATATATATAGATAGAAACATAGATACATAGGTACATAAATATAGTTAGATGGCTACTTAGATAGGTAGTTACATATTTAGTTAACTAAATAGGACCTAACTATTTAGTTAGTACACTGTATCTATGTATGTAGTTATTATTTTATTTATTTAGTTTGTAGTTAGAAAGTACTTGTTAGGTACTATCCATCGTCTAATTTGGACTGAAGCACATGTGTTTCGTTATGTGTTTAAACTAGATGGACAACCTAGTGACCATATATTATGGAGGCACCGTTGAATACGATCGCTATTGATATGTTGAGTTTGTTGACATGCAAAGCGTGCCTGTGCTATTCAATGATAGGCCTTCATTTAGTAAGATGGTTGCAAGGGCTCGGGAGGAGCTGTATTGCCTTGGAGATGATGGTATTGCAGTTTAGGGTGTACTGCACCTAGGTTCTCCTCCCAACATCCTCACTCGAATTATTCCAATTGGGTGTGCGGATCAGTGGGAGAACTATGTGAGATCGGCTATGAAGAGCCAGCTGTAATGTTTGGACGTGGTCGTGCGTCGGGTGTTAGTTGATCCCATCCCTCATGGGTTTTCCCCACCAATGAGTCAGCAGGCACACATCGACCCTCCCATCCTGAAACCTGATATGGATGTGGAGGTTGCACCTACGGTTTCCGATGCTCAATCTACCCCCAATGCAGTAGTTGAAGATGCTTGTTAGACTCATTTTATTGTGGCAAATCCTCCTCATGAGATCCCTTTGACATAGAATCATCCGAGTAAGTGTCTTAACCGCATGGTTATTGAGAGCTTACCCCCTTTCTTACATCAATTTCTTTCATTCTTTCTTCATTTCTCTACTTATGTTGCAGAAGACATTCCTAAGAATGTAGATGTGCCCCCTGTTGTTGCGTAAGTGCACTTTGGAGATGGATTTTGTGGCTCCAATAGTGTTGAAATTATCCATGATTCGGAGCCATATGAGATGGCAAGGGCTCTTGATTCTGATGATGATCGCCCTGTTGGAGAGCTGGCAGAGAGTGATGTTGAGATACTGAGGCGTATCTTTCCCGGCGGCCATGATCCAAAAGTTCACGAGTTCAACGATCTTGCTCATTCCGATCAGGCGTGTGTAGAAGGACGTGATGATGAGCTCCTAGAAGCTCCTGAGGCCGGCCCTAACATGGTAATTGAGAATGGGAGGGTGTTTAATTACCTCCCTGCATGGAAGAAGTGGTTGCAGGCGTTTGCAGTGATACGAAAGAGACCTTATAAGGTCTTACATTCATATGCGGAGCGCTATTATATAGTTTTAAGAACCATAACTACAATACAACCAATTTCGTTCTAAGAACCCAAAGCAATTAATATTAAACCATAAACCTAGGGTTTCTAATGTTATGCACAACAATGAATGCGCTGCGGTTACCTAGGTTTAATACAAATATTAAAAATTGCATGAAACCCTAAGTCATGACGATTCTTAGGTTGAAAAATCCGACTAATATATACCGAATCGATGCAAAAAAAAACTAGGAGGGGAGCGAGGATACCTTGCTCTCGAAGATCTACGGATCAAATCAAATTTTCCAAGGTCCAATTTGCCGATTCGTGAGGTAGGGCAAAGTGGAGAGAGAAAAAACCCGAGAGGGAGGAGAAAGAAGAGGAAGAAGGCTCGGGTAGGAGGGTTGGGGCCGGGGTTAAAACACAAGCTCGGCGCCCGTCACCCTGGCACCGAGCTCGGCGCCAAGATCTACGGCGTCAGGGTGACTAGCGCCGAGCTTTCTGCCATGTGACCGTCAGGTTGTCTTCGAGCCCAAGAGCTTGGTTCTAAGGACGCTAGCGCTGAGACGTGTTAGCTCGGCACCAGCAACGATGGTGTCGAGCTAAGGGTCCAGATTTTGAAATCTTTCCTCCAGGGGTATATTTGTGATTTTTTTTTCAAAAAGGGGCTAAAAAATAAAATATTCGGACGCGATGACACGGACCCCAGTTTGGGCTCTCCAGGGTTGTGGGGGCTGGGAGCGCACCGTACGGGCCTTCTTTTCACACATTTCTTTTGTATAATTTTTTGGGAAAAAAGGTCCATTTTGTCTCTCTAGACCATTGCAAAAGTCATATCGATTTAGTTTTTATGTACTCTTATATTTTATAGGTCGTTTTGTGTCTTTTTGTCCATTGTTTGTATGGATTTTGTTTTCCTTTGAGATATATCAGATCTAAAACACTCTTTTGAGTGTTTTTATCAAAAACTATAAAACCGAAAATGGTAATGCTGGGAAGCGGGCGTCCGTCCACTTGGACGCCGCTCACCCTACTCCGCTCCGCACGCTTCAGTGTTTCATGGCTTCTCAAAAAACAACACCGCTCGCCTTCTCCATTGCAGGGGCCGCTCGCCGCGGCTTTCTCTAGCGCGGTGGCACCGCACTCGGCCCTTTCTCGTGCTGCTCCGCGGGTTTGCGCCATGCCACAATCCAGCACCACGCCTCCATTCGCCTCGCCCGTCGTGGAAGGGGAGGAAGGAGAGTCCTGCGCCACCCCAGTTCCCACTAGGTAGGCCGTGGCTGCCGCCAACGCTGTATTTCAAGTGTTTTAGGCGTTTTCAGACATGTTGTAAGCCTATGTTTCAAGTGTTTGATACGGTTGTTGCAACAGTAGATCGAGATGTTGCATATGTTGCAATGGTTGTACATGTTTCTTGCAAGCGTTTGTCCGCAATATTTTATCTGATTTTTAGATGTATGTTGCAAGTGTGTTTATCTGGATGTTGTATATGTTTCACACATATATTGCAAGTATTTTATCTGCGTGTTGCGTATGTTTGTAATATTTTTAAGTGTTTTTAGGTGTTTTTGCAAGTATTCCAGACGGATGTTTCAAGTGTTTCATCTATCTTTTTGTGTGTTGCAAGTGTTGCATCTAAATATTTTAAAAGTAGATCAAGGTGATTTTAAAAGTGGATCAAGGTGTTACATATGGGATGCGCGAGGGGGTGCGAGTGGTCCCTGCACGTGGTCTGGCGGCACGGGCGATGTCTGGGGCAACACGGGCCCGTTGCTGGGGCACTCGCTCGCTTGCTACGCGAGCACCATTCGATCCTAGCGCCACGGATCAGACGTCCAGGCGTTAACAAGTCCAAACCGAAAATAGCTCTACCTTATCTCCCAAAACCAGGCACCTACCCATGGTCGTTTCTCTCCGTGGTTTTTTCTTTTATGTTTATTTTGGCTAATTTTTTTAAAAAAACATAGTAAATCAAAGAAAATCATAAAATAAAATAACTAATTTTGTTGAACTCTACGTGAGTAGATCTACATAATAAAGATATGATATGGTATGCTTCAGTACAAAGTTTTTCTTTACCTTGAGATTTATGCATTTTTGTAATTAATTCATAGCTATAGTTTTTTTGGTTTAATTGTGGTAAAATTTTTATGGTAAGCTAACATTGCATGGTTGAACTATAGCAAAAATTTCATGCTCATTGGATCACGTATGATTGAGTTATAGATTTATCTATGTTTATGTTTAATAATAAATAGTTTTTAAATGAAATTAAATCTCCAACTCAGTCATACATGATAATTTTTTTGTTGAACTCTTTATGAGTAGATCTACACAATAAATATATGGTATGATTTAGTACAAAATTTTTGTTGTAGCTTTAGATCTATACTTTTATGTAATTAATGCATACCTGTAGTTTGTGTAG